CCCTCACGCCCCTGAACCTTATCTGGCTCCTCTGGCCCCACCAACGCCCCCTTGTGTCTGGCCACTTGACCCCGAATTAGGACACATCTCAATTTTTGGAAGACATTTGCTGCCACGACAAATAAGGTTAACGATTCTCAAAATAGCGTCTCTGCAAATAACCAACAGGCCCACTTGGCCCAAAATGAATCTGAGGAGGAATTCAAAAGCATCTCTTTTCCCAGAAAACAGATTCCTCATTGACATATTTTTCTCTAGTTGATCTCCACCCCCCCAGCCCCCCCACCCCGTTCCAAAATGGAGCCTTTTCCTCTGTCCTTTATGCAAAGAGCCGGGCTGCAGACAGACAGTCCACTTGTCAACAGGGTTCTGTTTGTCTCTGTTCTCCCCTTGCTCTGGGGTACCCCCGACAAAAGGGCTATTATCAGATAGCACCCTGGTTGCAGAGACTCCCCTTTCCCCTCGGGGGCTGCCAGGCTGAGGGAGGGTGGGAGGGAGTGCAGTTTCAGCTGACTGGAGCCCCGGGGTGGTAGCTCCAGGAAGGGCTGTTGGGGGGGGGCTGGGGGGTGGGGTGCTGGACACCATCCCTCCTTCACTCTGAATGACTTGGAAGCACAGCCATTCATCAGATTCATGATTCACATAATCTGTCCTCTGAGAACAGAAATGTACTTCCCAGAGAGGAGCCTCTCATGTTGCCTCAGTGCCAGGAGCTCTAGGGTGAACCCCACATCTGACCATCGGGGCTTATGACCTCACCGACACTTTTGTCAGTTGCGTCTGGGAGAAAAACAACTTTAACATATTTAAACACTTCCCCCAACCAACGCCTCACTGGGGAAACTGTTTCTTGCCTTTGGTGGCTGCCAGAACTGCTGTTGCAGGGACCCCAGGCCTCCCCCTCCCTATTACTCCCATCAGAGGATGTTCAGGCCCCTCAGAGGCCCTGGAGTTCCCAGAATCTGTGTGGGAACTTGCCTGGAGTGAGGAGCAAACCATCCATCCATCCATCCATCCGTCCATCCATCTATAATCTATCCATCCTTCCATCCCTCCATCCATTCATCTATCCATCCATCCACAATCCATCCATCCATCCACAGTCCATCCATCCATCCACAGTCCATCCATCCTTCCCTCCCTCTATCCACTCATCTATCCATCCATCCACTCATTTAGCCATCCATCCACAATCCATCCATCCATCTGTCCATCCATAATCCATCTGTCTTTCCACTCATCTATCCATCCAGCCAAAATCCATCCATCCATCCTTCCATCCATCCATCTGCTCATCCATTCATCCATCCACTATCCATCCATCCATCCAACCATCCACCCATCTATCCTTGCATCCATCTTTCCTTCCATCCATCCGTCCATCCGCTCATCCACCCATCCATCCATCCATAATCCATCCACCATCCATCCATCCACCCATCCACTTGTGTAACCCACCTTCTACTGAGAAGGTGTTTAAGTCCAGGCTTTGGGGACAGAGAGGTAAGTCATGGCACTTTCCATCCTTACATTGTAAATCCAGTGCAAGTGATGATTTCTGACCAGGGAACAGAGGCTCAGGGGTCCCTGCATGTTGACAGAGAGAGAGACAGTGAGAAAGGCAACACAAGTAGGGGGAGTGGGAGAGGGAGAAGCAGGCTTCCTGGTGAGCAGAAGCCCGAAGCGGGGCTTGATCCCAGAACCCTGGGATTATGACCTGAGCCAAAGGCAGACGCCCAAAGACTAAGCCACCTAGGCGCCCCTGGAGAGGTTGTCTTTGGAGAGACTCTGAACCAGGCACTTCTACAGCTGCAGGGAGAGAGGCATAGCTACCCAATTTCTCTGTTTGACACCATAATCTCATCTTCTTCCTGACTCACACACCTGGGGAGGGCCATGTGCCATCTCGGCGAGGGTGGAGGTTGTTCTGTCAGAGAGACACCTCTTTGAGTGTGCAAGGCTGCCCACTTCACCTCCATGCTCTGGTGGAAGGAGAGGGGCCACCGGGAAGACTTCATGGTGTAAGTCCCCAGAATTTAGGGGCCGTCCCCCACACTTGAGTGGGTGAAGGTAGGTGGCATGCGTTTGCTCAGTCTCTGTCTATCTGGCCATCGCCTGGTGGGCAGGCTCAGGTCCTGGCTGGGGACAGTGTGAGGACACCAGGCTCAGCCAGTGTGGAGGGTGGTCAGCGAGGAGGGCTGGCCGCTGGGGAGGTCCACCCTTAGGAAGGGGCGTGTTTAGGATTGGCCTTGCAGGGTGGGCTCCTCTACTACAAAGAGGTCCCAGGCAAGAGTTCATGGTGGCCGGCTCTGGGCGCAGGTGCACCTGGAGGCAGACGCACCTGGATGTGGACATTCCTGAAAAAGGGCACCCCTAGAGGGTACACACCTGGAGGCCAATATGCCTTGGGGTAAACACACTTAGGGGTGAGCAAGCCTGGGGATCACCACTCACTGCAGAGCCATCCAGGGTAGTTGGTGCTTTCCCTGAGCTTATTTTTTTTTTCTGGAAAATGTGAATAGCAAGGGTACCTGTCCTGGTGTGGTGTTGAGGTGATGGCTATGCACGTCTCACAGCCTGTCCCTGGGGACTTTCGACCCCGGCCGATGAGCCTCGCCCCTGGCCATGCTCTGACCCCAGGTCCTTCCCCCATCCCGAGGGCCTCCGTTCTCCCTCAGTGAAGCTCCGGGGGCGAGACTTAGAAAAGCACACAGATTTATTGCATATCAATCTCATGTATAAATTCATTGTCGCATTGGAAAGATTACATTTGGTGTACAGTCCTATCCTACAGCATTAACCTCAAATCAGCTGCTCCTAGGCTTCATCTTAAAGACGCTTCTCTACACAAGTACATCTGTCTTTATCACAAGCATCAAAATGCAGTCTGCAGAATCAGGCGATGATTTCCTACACTGGGTGCCTTGCACTTCATCCTCTCCTTCAGTGATGCCCACGTTGCTCACAAGTCACGCTTGTTGCGCGAGCAGTTCAGAGCTCCTCGTCTGGAGGACGTAGACCCTAATCACATATTCAACAAGTGCATCTACCGAATTTTCCTTTTCATAAAAATTTCACAAACAGACACGATAATGACCGCTAACCACGAGTCATGCACAGTTTACTTATAACAGAAGCAATTTACAATCAGGGGGACATGGGACATACACCGGCCTCCTTCTCAATGGTTTTTTTTTTTTTAAACATTATATGAAAACCTGACATTTACATTTGATTTCTTTTTCAACACTATACAGTTCTAAAAGGAAAAAAAAAAAAACAAAAACAAACCCAAACAACCAAAGCAAACTGAACCAAGTCTGTACTGAAACAATGGCAAGAGGGAGATGTGGATACACAGGTTCGGGATTCTTGCCAGCAGGTGCAAACACGTACGCGTTACGTGATGCTCTCCAACATCAGCTCAGCTTCCCTTGTTGCGGGAACGTCGACGATATAAAACACACCGATAGAAACCTCCGGAATTACTTTGCTCACAAGTGAATTGCACATTTGGAAAACTCAAGCTGCCTTTTGTTTTTATTTTATTTTTTTCCCAAAACGGTAATCCGAATCGGTGACGGAAAGGAAGAACATAACAAACTGGAATGCAAGGAGGAAAGGAACGCTCCTGGAATCACGCAGGAATGTCTTGTCACAGTATCGCTTGCTGCTGCGGAGACAGGTTCATGGCTTCTGATACCCGGCTGACCTCCACCGACCAGGAGCGGCCACAGCCTTGCGACCCCAGCCGGGAGGGGCGCAAGGTGCCCGACTCTCCTGGGTGGCGCTGCCCCCTCGCCTCTCCCCCAGGACAGCACAGTGAATACAGCTCAGTAGATTTCAGTCACTTGGGCAGGGGGCTGGGGGGCAGGGGGACAGGGCAGGGGGCGGGGGGCCACAATCCAGTGCTTTGAGGCTTCAAGGCTACCAACGGGTGGTATGTATTTGGGCAAGGGCTTTGCGAACGCTCACTGAAGAAGCAGCTAGGACAGAGAAGGCCGAGGGTCCTGTGAGTTTCCAGGGCCAGGCTTGGGCCACGGAGGTGCTGGCCTTGAACAGGAAGGCCACGTGGGCTCAGCCTGTCCCACTGATCCAAACCCAGAGTCCCAGGCCGGCTGCAGGAACATGCACCCCTGGGTTCAAAACAGGGGATCTCTGGGTCCCACTCACGAAAGGTCTGGCTGGCCAAAGGATCGGCAGCTCCATGCGTCCTACCCAGTTGTCCCAGGAATGAGAGCAGCAGTGGGGGGATGGTGTCAGTCTGCTGGGGGCCGGGGGTCTGAGGGGCGGTGGAGGGGGGAGCGGGGAGCCTTCCTTTTCAATTTCCATTTGGGAAGATCAACGGTCCAAAGGAGGAATGCCGTTGATGCTGGACGGAAGGGCCCTGGCCCAGTGGGGCCCCAGGTTGACAGGTTGACCCTGGCCACCACCCAGGGACACAGTGGTCAGCCAGGCGATTGCCCTGTTGCAGCCGAGCTCTGAGGTGGGGTCTCAGAATTCTAGCCGCCAAGACCCCTGGCCCCCACGGTCCAGGCTGGGCCCGAGTGGCCATGCTGGTGCTGCAGCCCGGGGACAGAGAAGAGTAGGGAGGGCAGCTTGCTGTACGCGGGGGTGGGGAGAGGCACCAGGGTGGGGACTGAGTGCTCCCTTTGTCAGGGGTCCAAGGACAGACCCCCCCAAACCTGCCAAGTGCTTGGGCCCAAGGGGCTGAACGTTCAGGAGAAATGGGGCTAGCTCTAATCATTTTCAGGGGGACAAAAGTAAGGGCTGAAGATGAGCAGGTGGGGCTCTGGGAAGGAGGGAGAGAGAAGATGCGGCCACGGCTGGCAGGAAATGACGGATGGCCACAGCCCACGGAGCAGTCCAGAGGCGGCGGCCACGGTCCCTTATCTGTTCTGGGACCACGGAGAACAGATGCTCAAGTCTCCACCCTGGTGCTCAGGCCAAATTTCCTATTTTAGGCAGAGAGAGTCATATCGCAAAAAAAAGCACACACCTTATTCTTTAGCAGAAGAAATATAATTTGGGTTTACAGAAATGGGCATTCGTATGTGAGGTTGACTCTGCAAAGGGGTCCCACCTGGGTGGAGGGGAAATCCCACACCGCACCTGCGAGCCTGGCAGGGTGGATGCGCGCGAGGAGGTGAGGGGCTGTGTTTGCAAAGCCTCGCCCACGGGCCTTCGCCCGCTCTTCCTCGAGCAGGGTGCCCTGCCAGCCTGTGGGTGTGCGGCAGCGGCCCGGGTGCGGTCTCGCTGCCTCCCGTGGGCCAGGAGCGGGGAGAACCCTTCTCCCGGGGCCCGCAGCAGTGTGGCGCCCTCGGGGCCTCCCCACTCAGCTCTCCCAGCGCGGAAGCACACGATTGTCGCCGGCCTGGAGCGGCGGGGACACGGGGACTCGGCTGCTCTGACCGGCCTGCTGCCCCTGGGCCAGTGCCCAGGGCTCGTGCACCGGAGCCCCGTCCCCAGGCGCCCCGCCTACCCCTGCCGCTTGCATCTACATTCTTTCTCAAGGGCAACTTGGACGATCTTTTTCTCTTCCTGTTGGGACGCTATTCTTTTTTCCTTCCAAACAATAAAAGAAATAAATAGAACACTTGTCTTAAATGCAAATGTAACTGAAACTCTAATTTAACAAAAACACGTGATTGTCTGGAAACGGGCAGCAGGATCCGTCGGGGGGCGCGGGGGTATTTGGCACATTAAAAACCTCCCCACTCCCTGGTTATCGATCACACAACACACAACCTTATACACGGTTTTGGTCCTTCACTAGATACTTATATTAACATTATTCCTTCACAATAAGAATGTCTAATGCCAAAATACTGTTAAGGAAGAAATAAAATAAGAAAAGAAATGAATTAGAAAAAATTACAAGTTATATACAGATTAAGGTAAATTCCATCAGGGAAAAAAAATTATGATTTGAAATTGGCCCCTATGGGAATAATTTAAAGCCCATCCGAGTGGAGAGGCAGATCCATCCTGAGGAGGTGCCGTCCGGCCGGGCCGTGCGGTCTTGGCTTCCCGGGAGGCAGGTCCTACCCGGAGGCCCTTCCGTTCTGGAGCTGGTCTGGCCTGCCAAGAAGCCGCACAAAGAGGTGGCGGTCATGTCCCAGAGCCGGGGTCTCACGCAGGCAGAGCCCGGTGGCCTGGGGCAGGTCAGCCGCAGAGCGCGCCCCGCGGAGCCCACGGAGGGGGGGGATGCCCGCTTCCTTCCCCTTGTCCGTCTGACGGGGGTGGGTGGGGGGTGGCTGGAGAAGTAGCCGGTGGGCCCTGCCTTCCACAGAGCGGCCATGGGGGGCCGGCACGGGTGTGGCTGATGCGTGGACCTTGTCGGGAGGAGCGTCGGGTGCCTGGCCCACTGCTCTCACACCTCCCCCATACAATTGGGGGGTCTTGGTGGGCGCCACAGGCATGAATCCCATGCCGCACACGTGGGACGCGTGCGACAGGCCTCTCTCGCAGCCTTGGGCCAGCCCAGGATACCATGTCTGAGAGTTCCACCGTACAGTTTGAAACTGCTCGCAGGCGGGGGCCCCAGGCCCCTCATTTCTGCTCGGGGGCACCCAGGATCACGTTGGCTTTACAAATATGGTCAGGGATAGAAAACTCCGTTATCTACAGTATAAAGAACACACCCAGACACAGTACCAGTTTCCAGGCAGGTTTGGGTTTGCAAAGAAGCGGAGATTTGAAAGCAATGCAAAATTACTTTTAAAAAACAATTTGCAAGTCGTCTTTCGATTTTTTAAAAAATACTGTCTATTTTTAAAACCACATGCTTAAATAGACTCTGTCGTCAATAAGATTACCAAAAGGGTTACTCTCGTAATTCTTATTATAAAAAATCGTCTGGGTGATCTCCCTTTGTAGAGCACACCCGTGTCTGTCCGGTCCTTTCTGAGACACCCCACGGATGCCCCAGTGGCCCGCTGCCTTCATTCAGTCTGGGATTAAAATCCCACCCTCATCCACTGGGTTGGTTCTACGAGGCGTGGCCGGCCGTGCACTGTACCCTTCCGGAACGCTGTTCTTAAGACCAATTCTTGGACGGTGGGCCTCCTGGACGGCTCAGGGACTCCTGGGCTCTGAGTTTTCATTGGAAAAGTTAGAGCTGAACCATGGTGTGTGTGGGGGGACGGATGCTGAGGAGTGGTCAACGCAGGTGACGGGGCAGTGGGGGGGTCTCCCTGGCCCAGGGCACGCTGCTCCCCGAGGCTCCCTTCTCCATATTCCGCAGCCGGGATTTCTGTTGGGACGATGGGGCCCTGAGGTCGCCTTGCTTGGACTCTGACCCCGGCCCCTCCTGGGCCCGTCAGAGGTGGTTGATGGGGTTAAAGGCTCCGGACTCCGGCGTGGCTCCCGTGATGTTCAACCAAGCGTCCAGAGGGCTCTGGGAGGAGGTGTGGAGAGGAGCTTCCTCGGAAAGGGACAGCATCATTGCATACGCCTGGCCGGGGAGAGGACAAGGACACACACACACACACACACACACACACACAGGACAGACAGGTGAGCCGTGTGAGCTGGGGTTCTGCAGATCCCAGGCTGGCCCTTCCTGGCCCCCCGCTGCCCTCTGGCTGGGCTCAGCCTTGCCCAGATCCGGACAGAGAGGGGGAAGGCCAGACTCTCCCCTGGGGCCCGGAAGAGGTAGATGCGGGGGGTGGGGTGGGGCTGGAGGTGTGTGTGAACGTCAGCTGGGCTCCCATGCAGAGGGACAAGGTGCCAGGGTCCTGGCCTGCACAGGGGCTCCCGCAGCTCTTTGGGGGTGCTTCCCCCCTGCAGTCACCTCTCTGCCCCACCCCACTCTTGCGAGGGCCCCGGGAATTGGCTGGTAGTCCACAAGAGGCCGTCCCTGTCTGGTGGGCCTTGGGGGCTGCCCGTCTGGACAGCTGTGGGGACAATACAGAGCTACTTGGGGAAGCGGATGCACAGCTTGTCTGAGCCGAGCCCGGAGCATGGCTAGTCCACAGGATGCTCCTTCTGCCACGAGCCACAGGGCACGAGGCAATGGGACCTGGGCGGCCACTCAGAGCAGAGCGGGGTGGGGGAAGGCCAACCCTCCTCCCACGGGTTCACACTCTGGACAGGATTAGTAAAAGACAAAGACAGACACGCAGACGGTTTTTGCTGAGACTCGGGGTGGGCTGACGGAAACCTCGCCCCTCCAGATGGATGGAAGCAGGAAGCAGGGCCCTGTGGCCGCCTGTCCTAAGGAATGGTGTCGAGGTGCACCCGGGTGCCCTTGCTGACCCTGTCACAGCTCCAGCTTGGAATTACTGACTGCATGACGGACAGCTTCCTTCAAGAGAAGCCTGGGCTGCCAGCCACGCTTGCTCGGATCAGAGGGAGGGAGGCCTACATAGCTTCCAGGCTGGACACCAGCTCCTGGACAAGAGCACAGTGACCCACGTGCCTGTGAGCGCCCGGCTCACATTCACCTGCCTCGATCTCTCCCTGCCCCACCCCTGCTTGTGGGGAAGTAGCTGTCGCTTGGGCATCTCTCTAGCCGAGGCAACGGGCCCGGGGACCCGTGGTCCTGCTGTGCCCCACGCATAGGACGGCCACCAGCAAAGGAGGCGCGGCCGCCACCCGCCATCCAGCCTGGGGGTGCCGGGAGGGGGGGCTCTGCTGGGTACCTACCTGGTTCTTAGCCTGCCTGTACAGTGTCTGCTTTAAAGTCTCAGAATCTAAGGTGGAATTAAGCACATCTTTAACTTCAAACGCTTCCTCAGCTGCTCTGCGGAGATCCAGCCCCTTCCCAAAAGTCGGCATCGGCTCCAAAGCTAACAGGCCGCCTGGTTGCTCCTCAATACACCTGCACCAATGACCGGGGAGAGGGGCCTGGCGTTAGCTGGTCTGGCCTCTGACCGCCTCTCTGACGCCCCACGGCGGGCTCCGTGCCCGCATGCATGCCCCGGCGTCTCCACGAGCCACATGCACAAGGAGACAGACACACAGACACATGGACACCTGGACAGAAGCCACACAGATGCAGGAGAGGGACGGACAGAGGGGCACGGAAGGCGGTGAGTACGTGCACACACATTGCAAGCAGCAGGCGGGGTGCCCGGGTCTCTGGGAAGGGAGGACAGATCCGGAGGCAGCTCTGGAGGGGCCGGGACTCCCGCTCCCAGGACCCCGGGGACAGGGGGGATTGGCCGTCCCTGGAGCAGGCCTCCTGGATCCACAGGACTCCCCCAGGAAGGTCTGGAACGCTGGAGCACGGCCGGTGCCAGACGCAGGCCGGGGGCAGTCGGGCCGCACGGGAAGGGGCCCCAGCCAGCACCACGTCCAAAGCTCGCTGAGCCCCTGCTCAGCACAGCCGGCTCGGGCCAGGCGTCACTGCCCGGGCCACTCACCAGAGACGGTGGGGCGGCAGGACCAGGTCCTTCGCAGCTCGGGAGCGTGCCTCTCCCTTCCGGGGAAGTGTGTGTGTGTCGGGGGGAGGTGGGCTGGGCCCCGACCCCCTTGCTCAGGCAGGCCTTGCCTGGGCCTGCGTGTGGAAGGCCCCTCTCCCGCGGGGAGACGCCTGCTGGGAATGAGGGTGAGCCCAGCTGGGGGGACGGCGGGGTCCTGGGTGGTTTGAGGGTGAGGTCACCCTCATGACGCTCAGGGCCCTCCCCGGCCCGGGCCCTAGCTTGTGAGGCTGCCCACGCGCGGCCCATGGAGGGCCGGTCCCCACCTTCGGGTGTGTTCGAAGCCCACGGCCAGGGAGGTGGGCGGCTCCTCGTCCTCCTCATCCTCATAGGCCCCCTGGGGCTCAGGCGTGGGGGACACGGTGTCGTCCTGGGACTTCCCCGCCAGACTGTCATCCTCCTCCTCCTCCAGTTCCTCCTCCTCTTCCTCCTCCGCATCCTCCGGCTTCCCGCTGGCTAGGCCCGCACACTGCGAGCTGCCGTCCCGGTCCCGGACCTCCGGCCTGGAGTGACAGGGGAGGGAGTTGTCCTCAGACCCCAAAAGGCCTGCGACTGTCCTCACCCCTTGTGAAGAGAGCCTGCTTTCGTGGTCATGGGGACCCTCCGAGCCGAGGTTCTGGGTGCCTCGTCCAAGCCCTCGGCCTGGGCCGCCGCCCCTGTGGAGTAGGTTGAGGAGAGAAGGGTGCCTCAGCAGCAGGGCTCCCGAGGGGACACCGGCCGCCAGGGATTCAGGGTGTGTGTGTCAGGGAAGGAAGCCACAGCCAGTCTGGTGGGGAAGGGGGTCTTAGGTGCTGGAGCTGGGGTTGGGCACTGCACAAGGGGTGCCCTTGGGGAGGTTTGCTGATCGACCCTTGCTCAGTCCTCCTGGCCAGCCATGAGGACATAGGGACACTGGCTACCCAGAGTGATGGGTCCCCTTTGCAGATGGAAGGTCTGGGATCCTGGGGTTCTGCAGAACGAGGGCTGGGCTGTTGTCAGCCAGGGAAACCTGCCCAGATGAGTTTGTTTCAGAGACTGGTGGCTTCTCTCCTGCAGGCCAGACCCCACCTCATTTCCCTCAGTGTCACTCCAGCTGGATGAGACTTTTCCAATCTGGATCCTCGTTTTTAAAAGGAAAGAATCCAAGCCGAGCAAGGGCGAGCCTTCTTGCTTCTTTCAGAACATGCCACTAGCCCGAGGGCCACCCGGCAGGTGTCCAGCATGCAGGTGGAGGGGGGCAGGGAGGGTGGGCACATGCCTCCCGAGCCCACATCTGGGCCCCCACTCCTCCTGGACCTTGCATGGCCCACAGAGATCCGTCCGCAGCTGTCAGGGGAGGCAGGAGTCCTGCTCTCGGCGTCGGGGCCGAGGGGGGGCCCTTTCTGAGTGACACTGGCCTCCAGACACAGGGGCTTGTGCAGACGGGCCGGGCCACGGAGGCCCCTGGTGGCTGGGCTCTCGGCCATCCTCATCTCTCCTCCTTGCTTTCCCCAGAGAAAAGTACAAGATGCTGACGCCTGACCTGCCTTCCCAGACGGGCAGAACCTTGCCGGATGCTTCCCTTCCCGGGGGTCTCAGCTGTGCGGTCACTAGAACACGTCCGCCCACCAACGACAAGTGACACAGGCCGGGACTGGGTCCTGCCCCTCCCTGTGGTCCCCCCTCCGCCAGGGGGGCCTCGCCAGCTCAGAGTCTGTGCCCTCTTGGCAACGTGGGAACACTCCCATGCTGAGGATGGGACGAACAGCGCAGGTGGGAGACTTGGGGGCCGGGACTCGGGTTCTGTTCCCCAGGCAGCTCCGTGCACGTTTAATCGAACCCAAGGGCGCTGTGCGGTTCTATGTGTGAGCCCCTCTGGGAGCAGGGAGCACAGCCCCCACGACCCATCTGCCCACTGGCAGGGGGCTGCATCAAGCAGGAGCGCCCGGGGAGGGGCAGCAGGGGCCGGGGGTGGGGCCGGCAGGCTGGCAGCACCTGCGTGGGTGTCCAGGCCCCCAAACAGCCGCCTGTGGCACGTGACGTCCCGGGGCCGCCGTGACCCTGCCCCGGGCCGGCGCTTCAACCCCAGGAGCCCCGACTCTCCTGGTTCTGGAGGCTGGAGTCCGAGATCCAGGCGCGGGCGGGCCTGCTCCCTTCTGAGGCCTCTGGGGGTGGCTGGCGGTCCTCCGCGCCCCTTGGCGGCAGCAGCATCTCCGCATCGCCCCAGCTCTGCTTCATCTGTGTCCTGTGTCCCGCGTGTGCGTCTGTGTCCTGATCTCGCCTTAGGACATCACGTGGGATTGGGGGCCTCCCCGATGACCTCATCTTAACCAGCTACATCTGTAAAGACCCTGTTTCCAAATAAGGCCACATTCCGGGGCACGAGGGGTTAGGATTTTGGGGGGATACAATTCAGCGCAGGTATTAAAGGGGTTATAGGGCCAGGAAGCCTGGCTGTCCCTAAATTCTCCCTGATGGTCAAGAGAAGGAAACTGGTTCTGGATGTGAACCGGATAATGTTGATCTTGGCCCCAAACGGAACCACCAACGTCTCACCACTTTACACAGATTAATGGATTCATGTCACCTGTGATCGTGGTTCTCACTTCCAACCATGACGTGGGGCATCTCCTGGAGGCTCCCCGGCTCCCAGGACAAGGCCTCAGCGGGACAGGATATCCGAGGGCCTGGGTTTGTGGTCGGCTCTCTGCCCCGGGGCTTCCTGAGGGATCTGGGGCCAGTCTCCTCTGTCTGACCGCCACCAGGGGCGGTCGGGAAAGCGCTGGTGAGATGCTCCATGGTGAAGGTCAGGGTGCTGTGGTCTCCTCCCTCTCCCCTCTGTCCCAGTGGGTTTCCTGGAGAGTCCTCCTCACGGCTAAGAGCTGGGCCTGCCCCCCGGGCTTGAGGCGTGAGGGCCTTTCTGGTGATCCTGGAGGTTGGTGCACCCCGTGGAGGACGTTACTGACAAATCCTCGTAGGTTCTTCATCTGCCTGTCCTGGGTGCAGAGTCTCAGTCCAAAGGACAGTCTTTAACAGCCAGGATGTGTCTTGTGGCCCATCAGCAGGGCTCTGATAAGACCTGGCACCCGGGTCCTCACATCTGTGACTTTCTCTCAAACGGGCTGCAGAGCTGCCTGAACACAGGCTCCCCATGCCTCCTGAGGGGTAGGGACCTAGGTTTCTGTGAGACCACCGTGTGTGCCTGGAGCCATGGATGGACAAGGGCGCTCTGTCCACAGCAGAGCAGGCAGGACTGCATCCGGGCCGGAATCTCCACTGCCGAGCCAGGGTCAGGCTCTGGAAAGCGGAGCCCACAGCCAGACTCTCCCACCAGCCCCTCCTCGGAGCTCCCCCCCCCAGGGCCCTACCCAGCAGGCAGGTGAGATCACCTTCCAGGGGGCACGACTTAGCATGTGGCGGCCCCAGGAAAAGTCCAAGTTCATTTACAAATTCGACAGGCCTTCCCCTAGGAGTACCGAAGATGCAGCCTGTCCTGGAGGAAGCCGGGTCTCCTGAGGACCCCCCTCACTGGCTGGAGGTGGGCGGGGATGGCGCCTGGCCTTGGGGGAGCCACAGATCTGCGTAAGGGCCAAGGCCAGGGCTCTGGCTCCAGGTTCTGGCCTGGATTTATGGCTGGAGCAAGGCCCCACACTTCGCTGGGCTCAGTTTTCCACTGCAGAATTAGGGGATTGCACCCCAAGGCTTCTTGGTGTTTGGAGTGTCTCCGGTTTTTTCCAGCTGGTCTGGCACCAGCGTTTACCCAAGGAGAATGTTTTCCTGGGGGGTCTGAAGTGTCCTTCCACAGGGACCCCTGGAGGCAATGCCACCCGCTGAGCCTTGGGATCCAGGGTTGTGCAGAACACCTTCCATATCTTGAATCTGAATTCTGCCATTTTCCTGCCGCCATGAGCACATGTGTGTGTGCATGTGTGCATGTGGGTACACGTGTACATATGTGTACAAGTGTATGTGTTTGCATGTGTTGTTTATGTGTGCACATGCGTGATTTCATGTGCACGCATACATGTGTATGTGTGCAAATGCATGTATATGTGTGTACGTGTGTGCACATGTCATTGTGAGTGTGTGTACGTGTATGTGTGTGAGTGCATGTATGTGTGCATGCATTGTGAGTGCACGTGTGTGTGCACACCTATTTATGCCTGTATGTGTGGTTTCGTGTGAATGTACACATATGTACATGTGAGCACGTGTGAGTCCGTATGCATGTGCACAGCAGTGCATGTGCGTATATGCATTTGTGCCCGTGTATACATGTGCACATACATGCGTGCTTGTGTGGTTTCGCACACACATATGTGTACATGTGCACGCGTGTGGATGCCTGTGTATACATGTGGACATACATGTGCATGCCTTGTGGTTTTGTGTGCATGTGTGTGAGTGCATATGCACGTGTGGGGGGGGCACTCCTGTTAGGAGACCTTCAGTGCCTTGGATTAAATGGAAATGTTCTGGACTCTCAGGCCCCCAGCAGGGTTCATGGCAGGAGCCCTCGCCTGGTCCGTGCTCTGCCTCACACCTGTGACACCCAAGCCAAACCAGGCCGGCGCCTTGGCACCCCACGGCCATTACTGGTCGGGACGCTTACGCCCCTCACCCTCTGCAGACCCAGACACTGAGGCGGGGGGCAGTTAGTCCTTGCTGAAGCCCCCCACCCCCCGCGGCCACTTCTAGGTGGCAGAGCCAGGGCCAGAATAGATGCCGGCCATGCCCATCGGTCTCCCCCTCTGCCGTGGGCCCCGGTCCCTGTCTGGGGGCACCTGGGGGCCAGTGCTGTGGGGGGCTCCTCTGGCTGTGGCCACACACGTGGGCTCTGGATCTAGATCTTCTTGGGGTCCGGAATAGATTTCTTACCGTTTGTCCGTTCGTGTTGATGCTTGGTTCATCTCACTATTGGCAATAAAGTTTCTGATTTCAGAGAAATAGGAGTCTTCTTTCTCGTCTAAAAGTGCATGGTTGTCTGACTCGGAGGTGGGGGAGGAGGCACTGGTCCCCAGGTGGTTCGTGAGGACCCCGGAGTGCTGGCTCACTGTGGGGAGAGGGGAGCATCAGAGGAGGGGCATCCCTCAGCTGAGCCCTGCCCTTTCCCTCCCTCCCCTCCCCTGTGTTCCCCTCCCCTCTCCTCTCC